GCCAGGACGGGCCTGGACTGGACCCCACCTCCTGGCATCGCTCGGACGTGTGCATTCTTCCTTCGGCGAGGACCATCGAGGAGCATCCTTGATCATTTGGCGAAACAGCCGCGCACGAAACCGAACAAAAACAGGAAATGGACGTCCGAGCGATGGCCAGACCTTGCCCCGGTTCACCCAAGCTGGTTGGGCCGTGGTCTGCACGTCCAGGCCCAGCCCCGCAATCCTTGGACACGTAGCAAGTATAGCCAAACGGTTCCTCTGAATCGGCCGTCGGCGTGGCCGATTGCAGAAATCATGGATGATGTGGCCTCCCGGGCTTGCCCCGCTGTGTCAAACATTCGGCGGTCCCGTCGGGCCAAGCCGAGTTTGATTGAGCTGGTCCCTGAGCCCAAGGGTGTCGCCGTGGAGCGTGCAGGGAAGAGCTCGTACATATGCCTGCACTGTTGCGAACGAGGCAAGACTCGTTCTGCGGTGAGTGTGTTCCCCTGCGGTTGGCCGCCTAGGATTGCGCGGACCAGCCACCCATCAATCAGGATGTTGCGGATGGGAGGCAGAGCGGCCTGGTGTGTTCTGTGCGCGGCTTTCGGGAGCTCTCGAACCCGTTCCTGCCTTCTCCAGGAATGCCACGGGAGTCTCGGCAATCGCCCCGCAGAAGGGATTTTGAAGCATTTGAAGCGAGGAATCGACCCCAGCTCGAAGAAGTTTGTGGGAAGGTCGGTTCCCCTGGTCTGGCAGCCGTCTGACTTGGCGTCCAAGGAAGCGGGATAGCTGTTAGAATTCGCCCTTGCCACCCAACGCTGTTTTTCGCAGCTTTATCGCAGGTGTGCCAGCGGTAACAGACGGCATCGGAGCCAATAGGAGGAGGAGGGGGAGGAGATCAGGTTTAGGAGGAGGAGGAGGAGGAGGAGGAGGAGGAGGAGGAGGAGGAGGAGGAGGATTAGGATTAGGAGGACGAGGAGGACGAGGGCCGGAAACGCTGAAACGCCCCTCGCCCGTGAAGGCGTTCGTGCTCTTCAAGGAGCATGCGGAGGTGCCCTCGCCGGGCGACGGTGTCGTGGAGCTGGGCCGGCTGGCGAAGGCCAAGTTCTGGGCGGTCCTGCGGAAGGACGGTCCCCCTGGGAGGAGCAGGGAGAGGAGGAGGAGAAGGAGGTGGACGAGGAGGAGGGGGAGGGAAGGGGAGGAGGAGGAGGAGGAGGACGAGGACGAGGAGGAGGGGAGGAGGAGGAGGAGGGGGAGGGGAAGGAGGAGGGGAGGAGGAGGAGGAGGAGGAGGAGGAGGAGGAGGAGGAGGAGGAGGACGAGGACGAGGAGGAGGGGGAGGGAGGAGGAGGAGGAGGACGAGGAGGAGGACGAGGAGGAGGGGGAGGGAAGGGGAGGAGGAGGAGGAGGAGGACGACGGACGATGACGACGCTGGCGGCGGCGACGATGACGATGAAGCTGATGATGCCGATGGCGATGCCGAGGGTGATGAGGATGCGGATGAGGACGACTACGACGACGACATGACGACGACGTCGACGATGTTGATGATTATGGTGATGATGATACTGATGATGCTGCTGATGATGGTGCGGGTGATTGTGACGATGACGATGACGATGGCGATGATAATGGTGATGCCTCCAGTACTGATGATGATGGTGAATCTTGTGAAAATGATGCGGAGGAGCAGGATGGAATTGGTGATGGTGGTGACGACGACGACTATGGTGACAATGATCATGACACTGGCAATGACGATGATGACGATGCAGACGATGATGACGATGCTGATGCTGACGATGATGATGATGCTGCTGATGATGATGGTGATGATGATGATAATGGTGATGCATATGATGATGCTGGTGATGACGATGGTGGAAGGGGTGGTGACGATGATGCTGATGTGTATGATGATGATGATGGTGGTGGTGATGATGACGATGACGATCACGACGACGATGACGACGACGATGAAGGCGATGACGATGAGGATGACGACGATGACGTTGACAACAATAACGATTACGATGACGACGATGACGATGTCGATGACGTCGACGATGACACCGGCGACGATTGTGATCTTGATGTCGATGATGATGTTGATGATGATGATGACGGCGATGGAGATGAAACCGATGATGATGGTGATGATGATGATGGTGAGGATGATGATGGTGATGGTGATGATGAGGGTGATGGTGATGATGATGATGATGATGATGATGTCAATGCTGCTGATGGTGATGACGATAAGTAACACACTTTTTGTTTTCGTGATCAACGTGGTGCCGATGACGATGGTGATGGCGAGGACAGTTCCGATTGTGTTGATACTGATGAAGATGATGGCGACGGTGATGGTGATGGTGGTGGTGAGGTTGTTGTGGATGATGAAAATATGCGGGTGGTGGTGGTTGTGGCGACACGGGTCCCTCCGGGCTTCCCCCCAGCTTCCTCGGGAAGGAGGAGGAGGAAGACCCAGATTATCCACGAAGATCTTTTGACATACCAGCGTTGTTTTTTTCATTCTGCCCTCCGGCGCCGCTTTCGGGCCTCGGGGTCATCACAGACAGATCTGGGGGCCCAGTGAAGGCCGCTGAAGGCCAGACGTCGCCAGAAGCCGCCCGTCGTTTTCGCAGCGAGAGGGCGTGGGGGCCCTCCTCCTGGGACAGGAGTCAGCCTGCCAGGCGCGCGCGGCTGGGGGGGGGTCCGCACGCGCGGTGCGGTGGGGGGGGAGGGACGCCGCTGGATGGCGGAGCGGAGCGGTGAGGAGGGAGGATCGGGGAAACGCAAACACGGATCAGGGTGCGTGGATTAGGAACCAGTCTTGTCTCCATACCAATTCTGGCGCGTTCTGTTCTTAGATCGAGGCGCCGCTTGATGGCGGAGCGGAGCGGTGAGGAGGGAGGATCAGGGAATCGCAAACACGGATCAGGGCGCGTGGATCAGGAACCAGTCTTGTCTCCGTACCAATTCTGGCGCGCTCTGTTCTCAGATCAGGCGGCGTTGGCCCAACGTTTCGGGGGTTGTCCCCCGCGCCGTGGATCTGGCACCCGCGCGCCAGATTCACGGATCCCTGATCAAGGTTAGCGTGTGCCCAAGAGGAGGGAGGAGCATCACAAGCATGATAGTTCGTGGCATCGTTCTTCCTTGTAGGTGGTACTCCCCCCTCCCCTTCCTCCTTTCCCTCCCCTTCTTTTCCCGTCTTGTCGTGCCCCTTTCTCCTCGTCCCTTTCCCCTCCGTCTTCCTCTTCCTCTTCAACTTCCTCTGCCTCGTCATCTTCCTACAGTTACACAAAATAGATACTACTCTCCTCTCTCCCCTATCTCTGTCCGGGGAGTGGCCTGTCCTCTCCGCATGTTGTTTTCTACAGAATTTCAATCTTTTTTTTTCCCAATGTGTTTTCCCACTCCCATCTTCTTCAGTTCTTCAAATTGGTGCCCCCACTGCAGTGCCGTCCGCATTTCCGCGCTTCGGTTATTCTAAATTGTGCTCTGGCTGCAGCGCTGGCCTCGTCCCCGCGCCTCCTGTTTGTTCCAAATCGTCTTCCCGCTGCAACGCTGTCTTCCAAGCAGCGCTGTCGCTGTAGCGATGGCCTCGTTCCAGTACTGCGTTTCCTTCCAAGTCGTGCTCCCGCTACAGCGCTGGCGTGTTCTCGGTCCTCTCAAGTGGCGCCGCCGCTGTGGCCTCGTTCCAGTGCTGCGGTCCTTCCACGTCGTGCTCTCGCGGCAGCGCCGGCGTGCTCGGTCTTTCTCTGTGGCGCCGTCGCTGTAGCGATGGTCTCGTCCCAGTGCTGCGGTCCTTCCAGGCCGTGCTCCCGCAGCAGCGCTGGTCTCACTCTCGTCGGTCGTGGCCCTGTTCCCGCACTGCGGCTCTTTCCAATCGTGCTGCAAGGCTGGCCTCTTCTTTTCCCATGGTCGGTCCTTCCCGGTCGGGCGGTTGTTCTGTGTTCCGGCGGCGGCAAAGATGGGGGTGATGACTAGCGGGGGGGGGATATCATGGCGTGGACCATGATATTCTCCCAGATCTCATGGCGCCTCTTCTTATTCAAATGCGTCCCCAGCCCCACCCCTGGGCCGCGCACATGCGTCGGGCCATGATGTGCGCCTTACCCTCTTGGACGCCCCCCTCTTGGACGCCCCCGAGTGTTCCCAGTCGCGGCTTATGATTGCTGGTACTTCAAGCGGACCTTCCGCTACAACGTTGGCCTCCTTACTTGCACTGGAGTCACCGTCCAATGGGATGCGCTCTCTCGCCGTCACGTTGGAAGCAGCACAGTATCCGCGCTGGGCCGCGCCTTCCGCTCCGGTTCCTGTGTGCCGTCTGCTTCCACACCTGGCGTCGTGGCTTTTCTGTGATCTACGCCATGGCAAGGGATGGCAGGGCGGGGTAGGACGTCAGATGTGACGCTAGCGTTAAGTCGGGCATGTCCCTCTACAGGAGGAATATTCAAAAATAGTTTCAAAAAATCGTCGGGGGGCGATTCTTTGACAATTTTTGATTATCCGTAAGAGCTTCGCCCCGTGCCGCTGGCCCCCTGTCTCGGATAAAGGGAGATGCAAAAGCTAAATCATGAGGTCTGGGCGCCGCCGTGAAGCATTGTCGGGACCTGTTTGTTTTTGGACCCTGACCCTACGGATCTGCGTGAAGGGTGCCGCCGAATTTCAGACATGTGGCAAATCCCTTGTGTTTTTGGACCCTGGCCCTGCCGATCTGCGTCAGAGGTGCCGCCGAATTTCAGAAATGTGGCAGATCCCTAAGTTTTTGGACCCTGACCCCGCCGATCTGCGTGAGGGGTGTAAATGTTTACCCACTCCAGCAATTCAGACAACACGCTCAGGGCGTGGTAAAAATGCCCGTTTTGGGCCTCCCCCCCTCGCGCGGTCCATCAACAAGTAACAGTAAGCAGCAAGAACCAGAACTGTAAGAGCGGAAACTGGAAGCTGCAACTGGTACAGGAAACTGCGAACCTTCGGCCTATAGCGTGGTGAAGGGGGCCGGCGGATTCTTGATTTGTTTTGATTATCTTTTGACTTTCCCTCCAAAATCTGCCTGTAGGGGGACATGCCCGACCGAACGCTAGCGCACCTAGCTTGTCTTCTCCATCCCTTCCGCTCGAATAATAATATTATTAATCATAATACTAATAGTATTAATAATGATGTTATTATTTAATCTTATTATCATTTATACTAAGAATAATAAGAATGCGAATCACATCTCTGCACAAACAAAAACTTCTTGGCGCTCCGCGCGGATGTCTTGGATCTGCGCTGACCCCCCCCACACCCAGGCGGCGCCTCCGGCGCCGCCCCTGGTCCAGCGCGGATCCTAGAAGTCCGCGCGGACCTCCAGAGGTGCAGGCTTATGCCGTTTTCTCTTCCTCTATCCGCCTTCCCTGCCCCTCTCGCTCCTGTCCTCCCACGTGGAAGGCCGTGGCGATGGACACCGACGGCAAGGGCACGGAGGTGGACGACGACGTTGTGGATGGGGCCTTCAGGCCGGAGGGCCTGCGCTTGTCCAGCCACTCGTCGTTGTCGTCGTCGGAGGGCATCGTCGCTGTCTCTTCGCCCTGTCGCTCTCTTCTCCTTCTTCTCCTCGTCCTCCGCGTCGTCGTTGCCGTCGTCGGAGGGCATCGTCGCTGTCTCGTCTCTTCGCCCTGTCGCTCTCTTCTCCTTGTCCTCCTCGTCCTCCTCGTCCCCGTCCTCCTCCTCATCCTCCTCGCCCTGTTCCTCCCCCTCCTCTTCCTTCTCCTCGCCCTCCTCTTGATTCTGCTCCTACTCCTCTCCCTGCCGCCTGAGCGGGAGCGCGCGCGAGGGGGAAGGGGAGAGGGAGGGGAGGGGGTGGGAGGGGGGAGAAGCAGGAGGAGGAGGGGGAGGAGGATACGTAGGAGCAGAAGGAGGAAGGAGGAGGAGGATGAAAAGGAGAAGGAGTAGGAGGAAAGACGAGGAGGAGGAGGAGGGGGGGGAGAAGGAAGGACGAGGAGGAAGGATGAGGACAACGACGAGAGAAGGGAGAATGAGGATGAGGAGAAGGACCATTGCAACCCCCAGACGCGGCAACGATGCTGCGATAAGCTCTTCTTTCGAGTTTCCTCTGCACAGGTCTCTAGAGTCATTTATTTGCACTGCGGGAGGTGGTCCATTTGGGGACAATCGTTTGAGAATTCCCAGACATGCCAGGAGCATTCTGGGGACCTCAACGCTGCATATTAAGTTGGCTGTTGCGCCCTGACCATCGAAGGTCGGTTCATACAACTAATCCTCGGACTTAGCTCTTCGAAGTAACGTGACTTCTGTTGCGTCCTAACAACCCTCAGTCGTGGCAGGACACCATTCCTGGGTTGTCAACCATGCGAGTCCTGAAACAGCTGCAAACTTTAGAAACACGATGCTTGGTGCAAAGGCGGGAGCCACATTTGAAAAGGCGAGCGTCACATGTTGAACACCTCGTGTCCTCTATCGTTGAAGCTCCCGCGAGCTTTCAGGACGACTGTGCGCGGCGCTCAGGCGAGCGCCACATCTTGAAGACCACCCGATCTCCATCCGTGAACCCGTGGCAGCTTTCAAGCTTCGGGTTCATGCATGGCCAGGAAGTCTCAGGCCAAACGCCCGACCCGCCCGACCCAACGCGCCTTGGGGTGCGACAGGGGGGAGTTGATCATAAGGATAAGTCAGGGTGGAGGAGGAGGAGGAGTTATTTAATCGCTTCGCTCATGCCGCCGGCCCTGGAGCCCTCTTTAGGGCCTCTTGGGGGCCTCTTGGGGACCTCTTGGGAGTCTCTTGGGGCTCCTTGGCGGCGTTTTGGAGGCCCCCAGGGCCTCTTGGGGGGCTCTTGGGGGTAGTCGATTGCGGCTCCCCCCTCGGAGGCCACGATCCTCGTGAGGGGTGTCGAAAAATACCCTCCCCTGGAGTGGTCTGGTGGCTTCTCCCGGGCTTCTCTCGGGACCTTGCCGGGGTACTTTTCGTCCGGGGGCCCCCAGGGGCCGCTCCGCGCGCGCGAACTAGAAATATTGTTAACAAGTTACCGGAGATCTTAGCACGCCTCTGGCCCGTTGGGCCGGCGAATTCAAGCGATGGGAGGAGGGCGGGGGCGGGAGAGAGATGACGAGGAGGGCGGAGGAGGAGGATGAGGGCGAAGGAGGATGGGGGGAGGGGGATGGAGGATGAACATGACGGATGAGGAGGGGAAGGAGGGAGGAGGGATGAGGGAAGGGAGGAGAGAAGGCGAGGATAGAGAAGGTGGAGGACGAGCTACGTGCGCGCCTGACATGGTACCCTTTCAATCCTTCCCTTCCCTTGACACTGAATTGTCTTACACGCGGGCCCGGGCCGCAGCGGACCTGGAATTTCAAGTGGCCCGTGTTTTAGCGAGAACGCTGTCTCCTGAACGGTAGGAGCAGTGCGCGCCGACCTTGCATGGAGCGAACGCTTCAGCGGGAGCACCGTGTCGAGACACCGAAGGCGTTCCGATAGAACGAACCACCAGAAATGCGTATCAGTGTTTGGAGTCCTGTGTGAGAGAAAGAACGCGGAGGGGGTCGTTCCATTCACTGGCCATTTTCAGGGGAGAGAGGAGACCAGTATCAAGCTAGGTACGCTCGCGCCGTATCTGACATCTTACTTCTCCCACCCATCCCCTCCCTTGGCGCTGATGTTTCTTCTGTGCGATGACGCGCGCCACAGTGGCCTTCGAGTTTCAAACACAACCAAGAGCGGGCCTCCCCCTTCTCCTCGCTCCCTCGCCCTTCCCGTCCTCCCTCCACCTCGCTCTACCTCCTCCTCCTCCTCCTCCTCCTGTTCCTCCTCCATCATTACCCGATCTGAATACTACTCTCCTCTCTCCCTTGAACATGGCCGAGGAGTGGAGTGGGACCCACCGCATACTAATGCACACAGGAATCCAAACGCTGATCTACCCCATCTGTTGTTTCAGTTCGGGACGTCGTCGGTGTCTCAGACGGTGCTGCCGCTGCAGCGTGCGCCTCGCTTCCATCGTTCAGAATGGAAATCGGCGGCGAGCGAGGGGGGGAAGTGAGAAGGATAATGGAAGTTTTCTAAGCCTTCCCTGAATACAGAATCTACTTCTCAGAAGGCGCGAGGGCTTCTGCGAAGTCCCGCCGCCTTCTGATAAGGCCTTCTCCTTCTCATTTCCCCCCCTCGCTCGCCGCCAAGGAACTGTCGCCCCAGCGCGGACCACTTGTCTGGATCCGCGTGCCTCGTCGTTGTCGTCCCGATCCTTTCTCCTCCCCCCGCCTTTTTTTTGGTCATCCTGCTCCTCCCGTTTCTCCCACTCCAGCTCTTGCTGCTGCCGTTCCCCCCCTGTCCTCACCGTCCTCATTCTCGTCCTCCTCGTAATCATGCTGGTTCTCGTGCTCCTTCGTCCTCCGCTTCCCCTCCTGCTCATAATCCTGCTCATCCGCCACCTCCTCCTTCAATGTACGCATCTCCCCTTCCCCCGATTGCGCATGGCGCTTCCTCCCTCCCCCCTCCAGGCTCGTCGTTCTGTTTTCTGGGCTCGCCTCTCTCCCTTCTCGTCGCCCCTTCTCTGCCTCGTTCTCCCCTTTCCTTCCCTGTGCGCCCCCCCCCCCGCCTCTATCTCTCTCTTTCTCCTGCTCCATCCCCCCCTGTGCTTTCTCTTCCTCCGCCCCTCTCTCCCTTCACACCCTCCGCCTCCTCCTCCTCCTCCTCCTCCTCCTCCTCCTCCTCTTCCTCCTCCTCCTCCTCCTCCGCTGGGGCCTCGGCTCGCCTCCGGGGGCTCTGCGCCCTCGCCTGGTGTTGCCTGCTTCGGAGGCCACCGCCCCCCCCCCGCGCAGTGGCGGCGCCGCGCGGCAGACACCTCTGCTGGCTGGGAGTAGTAGTAGTAGTAGTAGTAGTAGTAGTAGTAGTAGTAGTAGTAGTAGTAGTAGTAGTAGTAGTAGTGGTAGTGGTAGTAGTAGTAGTAGTAGTAGTAGTAGTAGTAGTCGCCGTAGTTAGTCGTAGTAGTCGTAGTAGTAGTCGTGGTAGTAGTAGTAGTAGTAGTAGTAGTAGTAGTAGTAGTAGTAGTAGTAGTAGTAGTCGTGGTAGTCGTAGAAGTAGTATTCGTACTAGTAGTAGTAGTAGTAGTAGTAGTAGTAGTAGTAGTAGTAGTAGTAGAAGTCGTAGTAGTAGTAGTAGAAGTCGTTGTAGTTGTAGTGGTAGTAGTAGTAGTAGTAGTAGTAGTAGTAGTAGTAGTAGTAGTAGTAGTAGTAGTAGTAGTAGTAGTAGTAGTCGTAGTAGTAGTAGTAGTAGTAGTAGTAGTAGTAGGAGGAGGGGGAGGAGGAGGAGGGGGAATACTAATAATAACAATACCAACAATAATACTAATATTCATAATAGTAATACGAGTACTGATATTAAAAACACTGTTACCAATACTAAGACGACTACGCGGAATAATACTAATAATAGTAATAATAATAACAATAATGCTAGTACCAAGTATACGAATAACAGAACTAAGACTACGAATGCGAATAATGATACTGATACGATGGCTAATACTACGACTACGAATGTTAGTAGTAGTAGTAGTAGTGGTAGTAGTAGTAGTAGTAGTAGTAGTAGTAGTCGCCGTAGTAGTCGTAGTCGTAGTCGTGGTAGTAGTAGTAGTAGTAGTAGTAGTAGTAGTAGTAGTAGTAGTAGTAGTGGTAGTAGTAGTAGTAGTAGTCGTAGAAGTAGTATTCGTACTAGTAATAGTAGTAGTAGTAGTAGTAGTAGTAGTAGTAGTAGTAGTAGTAGTAGTAGTAGTAGTAGAAGTCGTAGTAGTAGTAGAAGTCGTTGTAGCCGTAGTAGTAGTAGTAGTCGTAGTAGTAGTAGTAGTAGTAGTAGTAGTAGTAGTACTAGTAGTAGTAGTAGTAGTAGTAGTAGTAGTAGTAGTAGTAGTAGTAGTAGTAGTAGTAGTAGTAGTAGTAGTAGTAGTAGTAGTAGTAGTAGTAGTAGTAGTAGTAGTGGTAGTAGTAGCAACAGCAGCAGCAGCCGCAGTAGTAGT